TTTGGGAGTATTTGGGGGGGATTTTGGAGGGATTTTGGGAGGATTTTGGGAGGATTTTGGGAGGATTTTGGGGTTTTGGGGGGGATTTTGGGGGGATTTTGGGAGGATTTTGGGAGGATCTTGGGAGGGATTTTGGGAGGATTTTGGGGGGGGTTTTGGGAGGATTTTGGGGGGGGGTTTGGGGTTTTGGGGAGGGGTCTCTCACCGTGGGGGGGTCCCCGAGGCGGGCGCAGAGCAGGAAGCTGTGCAGGTCCCCGTGGGCCATGAAGGGCAGGAGGACGATGGGGGCGGGGGGGGCCCCCTCCGAGCCCCTCCCCCACGGCTGCAGGCAGACCCCTGGGGGGGAGGGGCGAGGTCAAGCCCCGGACCCCCCCAAATTTGGGGTTCAGGACCCCCGAAATTGGGGTGTGGAACACCCTGAACCCCCTGCCAAATTTGGGCGTGAACCCTGCCAGAATTGGGGATGGGAAATCCCCAAAAATGGGGCACAGAACCCCCAAAAATGGGGCTCAGATCCCCCAAAAATGGGGTTCAGGACCGACCAAAAATGGGGCTCAGATCCCCCAAAAATGGGGCTCAGAACCGACCAAAAATGGGGCTCAGGATCCCCCAAAAATGGGGCTCAGATCCCCCAAAAATGGGGCTCAGAACCCCCAAAAATGGGGCTCAGGATCCCCCAAAAATGGGGCTCAGATCCCCCAAAAATGGGGCTCAGAACCCCCAAAAATGGGGCTCAGGACCCCCGAAATTGAGGCTCAGACCCCCCTGAACTCCCCCAAAACCGGGGGGTCCTGGGGGGATTCAGGGGAGAATTTTTGGGGCATTTTTGGGGTGACTTCGGGGGTTTTTTGGGGGGTGTCTCACCGATCAACTTCATGACGTTGGGGTGGTCAAACTCCTTCATGCAGGCGGCCTCGCTCAGGAAATCCTCGAGCTCCCCCCGCGAGCAGATGGCCACTTTGGGGCGAATTTGGGGGATTTTGGGGGAAATCTGGGCAAATTCCGGGATTTGGGGGTGGATTTTGGGGGGGTTGTGGGGCCCTCACATTTCATCGTCTTCACGGCCACGCGCAGCACCCCCGAGTCCTGGTGCAGAGTCCCCTCCACCACCGAGCCGAACTCTCCTGCGGTTTTGGGGGGGGTCCCAGAGGGATTTTGGGGGGTCCCGAGGTGATTTGGGGGAGGTTTGGAGAGATTTTGGGGCTTTGAGGGGATTTGGGAGGGTCCTGAGGGGTTTTGGGGGGGGATTTGGGAAGGCCCCAGGGATTTTGTGGGCTCCAGGGGGATCCAGGCTGATTTTGGGGAGGGTTTTGGGGGTCCCCAGGGATTTTGGGGGTTCCCGAGGTGATTTTGGAGTGTTTGGGGGAATTTAGGGGGCTGCTGGGGGGACTGCTGGGCCCCAGTGGATTTTTGTGGCTTCGGGGGGGTCCAAGCTGATTTTGGGGTGTCCCAGGGAGTCCCGAGTGGATTTTGGGAAGATTTGGCGGGGATTTGGGGGATTTTGGGGGGATTTGGGGGGTTTTGGGGGGGTTTGGGGGG